TCCCCAGCCAGCATGGCTGGCTGGGGAATTCTGGGAGTTGAAGTCCATTCATCTTAAAGTTTCTACGGTTGAGAAACATTGGTGTAGGAGATGTGGTAGTAACAGAGGCTAAGCAAGTTAGCTGGAACAGTTTGATTAAGCCAACCCTGTCCTCTTGAGGCCCAGGATGAAGATGTAACAAAGAAAAAGTTGTGCTTCTCTTTCAGAGCTCTGTTTACCAGTAGTTGGAACAACTCCGAAAAAAGAATATATAATATTCCTGGTATTACCCCAGATATGATGAAGCTGATTATTGAATACGCCTACACAAGGACAGTGCCCATTACCGTGGACAATGTGGAGAGGCTCCTGGTGGCCGCCGACCAGTTTAACGTGATGGGTATCGTCAGGGCTTGCTCCGATTTTATGAAGTGTCAGCTCTGCCTGGAGAATTGCATCGGTATCTGCAAATTCACTGAGTATTACTACTGCCCCGAGCTGCGCCAGGCCGCCTACATGTTCATCCTGCACAACTTTGAGGAGATGGTGAAAGCGTCTACTGAATTCCTGGAGCTCTCGGTCAATGAGTTTAAAGACATCATTGAAAAGGACGAACTCAACGTGAAGCAGGAAGACGCTGTCTTTGAGGCCATTCTCAAGTGGATTGCCCACGACCCCCCTAACAGAAAACAGCACATGGCGGTCCTGCTGCCAAAGGTGAGTCTTGCTAGCATCTTCAGGGCTACACATTTTTTCTCTTCCTTGTCTACCAGTCATCTCCAGAGCTGAAAAAAAGAGACCACAGCGGACAACTGAAAAGACTGCAGGGATGTTGAACTTGGGGCAAAGGGGAGACTTGATAGAGATATCTAAGATGATGGGTGATGCAGAAGATGGAGAGGAAGGCTGTCCCCCCACCCACCCCATTTCTTTTTGCAGTGTTAGAAATTGGGGTCATCCACTGAATCTAAATTAAGGAACATTATCCAAATGGTAGATGTAGTCCACCTTATGGATAGATAGATACAATTTATGATAGTCTTAGACCAGTACAAGAAGTTTGTTCATGAGTGACCTTATAGACTATAGATACCCCCATGTCACGCCCCCATGTATGGGGCTTTACATGATTTCCACACACCCCTTGTGGCGGGGGAGCATTTCTCTATTTTTACACAGTGTACCCCACGGAGTGTCTGAAGAGCACCAGCAAGCATCAGCTTGGTCACTCAGTGCCTCCTGATGGTCAGCGTAACTGAAAATACAGTCAGAACTCCATATTTTCAGGGATTCATGTTCTCACAGTGGCGGTCATGAAATTTTGGCAGCTGCATTCACTCTAAGTGATGGTGGGGCACCCATGTTTGCAGACTCTCAGTGAGCATCAGCCAAGTAGGACAGCTGGTAATCTTTGTGTGTTGTGTACGGCTGTATTAGACCACTTTGACTTTAG